CAGCAGCTCTCCAAAAATCCCCTAGGTCCCCAGCACCAAACTGGGAATACTGAGCCATCTAGCCTTGTAGACTGAACAACTACCATGTTACCAGCCTTTCAGTTTTGAGACAGTCTTTGTTATACTAGCTGAACCACAGCCTAATAAATCCCCTTTTAGTATGTAGACACACACATACACACATGTGCATATGTGTATATATAATACATATGTATATATAATTGATACTCATATACATACTCATTCTATCACTTTCCTTCTTTTATAGAACCCTGTCTAATACACCACCTCAATTAATTTAATCTAGATAATCCCTCACAGACATGCCCACGGGCTTGTCTCTATGGTGATTTCAGCTCCTATTAAGTTGACAATCAAGAGTAACGGAGACAGGAGATTAGCACTGTCTGATCTCTTCTGATTAAGCCTAATCTCTTCAGACTGGCCTAGCTAAGCAGACCTTTGAGGTTCGCCTCAGGTCTCCCTTCTTGAAGCTTTCTTGGTTGTGCCGGTTGGGGACAATGCATTCCTATGTGCCCCTATCAGTTCACAGTCCTTCCGTACCACAAGGACTTCTTCAGAGTAAGTCACTTCTTGAAAGTCCCCCTCAATGACTATAGCAGGCACATGGTAGTTTATCTGCTGATCTGTTCAAACACTCAGCAAATAGACCATGTGACCTCTTGGTGAAAGATGAGTTTTATGTATTTTTAATTTTTGTCTTTGAACATGTGGTTGAGTGTGGGTGTATTTGTACATGTGTAGGGGCTGAGAGAGAACCCTGGTCTCAGAGGATCTTTTCTATGATCTCACAGTGAAGAAACGTTGGACATTTAAAGTGTTGGAGTCAGGGTCCTATTTTATTTTTAAAGATGTACATGTGTCTGTGAGCGTGTATGTGTGGGTGATTGCCAATAGCGTCTAGAAGAGAGTGTTGGATCTCCTGGGGATGGAGTTACAAACAGTAGTAAGCTCCTGATATGTGTGCTAGAAACCAAACTTAGGTTCTTACATACTCTTAACCATTAAGTCATCTCTCCAGCCCCGAGGGTTGGATTTTTAAAAGACATTGGGAACTTTTAAAGTTAGGCTGTACATTATCATATTAACTCTAGTTCCAGTCGATCCAATGCCTACTTCTGGCCTCCAAGGGCACCAGGCATGCACATGGTGTACATACACACATGCAGGCGAAACATTCATACATATGAAATATATAAATCTTAAAACTATTCCCAAAGCTATGTGCTGAAGGCTTGGTTGTTGGCTGAGGGTTTGAGGAGAGTGTTTGGGTTATGAGAGTTGTGCCTTCATTGATAGATTAAGCCTTGGGTGATGTACTAGTCAGGGTTCTCTAGAGGAAGAAAGCTGATAGAATGTGTATAAATGTATATAAATACATATATCTACATACATAACACATACACACACACAGAGGAAGAAACGGCATTGCGGGTACTCGGAGTGACAGAGG